GCCCGAGAGCTGACTCAAGCCCACTGCAGAGCTGGGTGGCCGGGAAGACTCCATGAACAAAGCAGTCCCTCTTTTTCCCTCCCCTACTCAACATCAGGATGCTGCTATCCCAGTTGAGAGCAAGGACCTTGGCGTCTTCTTTTCCACATACAAAAAGAAGTCTCTGATGGGGGTGGAGAGGGGAAGAGGGTCAGGACCCACACACAAACAGAGCAGGCAGGCTCTAGCAGCCTTTGCCCACAGCAGTTACCTGCCCCTCAGCACACGCTCTTTTCCAGGGCCTGGTAGTAGATGGAAATCAAGTGCTCCTGCCCACTTGCCACCAAACCCTACCCACTAATTTATAGCCATTTATTTTTTATTTTAGAAAAGAATTATTTAGGGAGCATTGTATAAAGAGAGGGCAACTATTTGATCACCCAAAGGTCACTGAGATAATGCCAACAAAAACTAAACAGCAGACAACCCTGCCCCACGTGACCTTGGGCTAGTCACTTCGCCTTTCCCGGCTTGCGTTTCTTTCGTCAACAAAATGGTACAATCAGTGAGATGGTTTATAAGGTTCTTTCTGGCTCCAAGAGTTGAATATTTAAATCTATGTATTTCCTGAAGAAAGGGCTAAAGAAAATCAGTGAAGAGAGGCAGAATTCAGACTAACCTTTTAACTTCTGCTTTAACTGGTAACATTTGACTCTAGAAACTGTGCAAATTACCATCTCCTCTGGTCCCACTTTTTCTTTCCCACTGACCTTCTAGTTTTGCTGATGTCAATCTTAACCACAGGGATCAGAGTCTCATGAGGCAATAACCCGGTCAAATTAATTTTGCCAATGCTGATACTAACCCACAAACTGGGTCTACTATTCCTAGCAGTAAGTCTGGCCATAAAAGTGAAATTCGTGTTACTTATGATCTAACAAGCCCATTGCCTGGACAGAAATAAACCATTTACTGAATAACAATGCCCACCAAATTCTTGCAGTCTTTCAAATCCCTAAGTGCCATGAGTTAATATTCTTGTCCAAAAATAAAGTCAGTATCTCAAAGGGGAAGGAGGAATGGATAGACCCCCCCCAACAAACAACAAAATCCAGCCCTTACACACACACACACACACACACACGCACCTCTTGCTCTGACCAGACCAAGATAGTCCCGCTTTCAGTTTTGCCCACCTTAACTGCGGTTAAAAATGGGAAAGTATGGAGTCCCCCTCCCTTTACTGCTTTGGGTAAGTATACTGCAGGGTGCCCGCCTCCACTGCCAACTGACGGTACACTAAAGAAACCCCGTTTTTCATTCACATGTAAAATGAAGCTGCACCCCTCCTCTACCTGCTGGAAACTACACGGGTGTGCACACACCCTGGGGAAATGGGCACTGCACCCCGCGAGTTACCTGGAAGACGTTTGCTAAAATCGACAGAAAGGAGGAAGGATCGATGCAATTCAAGTGCGGACGGTCACACTCATGGGGGGGGGGGACAAACGCAAGCCGGGAAGTCCCCAGCGGTGCCTGCACCTGGGAGGCGACCGCATAGGATGGATGCGGGGCTGAGGAAGTGCGGGGAGAGGAAAGAGCTGGGGGAAGGCGGGTGGCCGGCCGCTCACCTGTCCGTACACCTTGATGGGCTCCGGCTGCAGGGCAGCGCTCCGTCTCCTCCGGAGCGGCTTCTCGTCCGCCCCCCGGGGCCCCCAGCGCGCCCACAGCCGCAGCTCGCGCGGCTCGCCCTGCACCACGCGGAAGCCCCGGTCCTGGGGCAGGGGCGCGCGGCCGCCGTGCAGCGTCTGCGTCCACACCTCGCACAGAGCCCCGGGCGGCAGCAGCGCGACCAGGGTGAATAGGAAGGGGAGTCGCGACTCCCTCCTGCTGCTCCGTGTCGCCATGTTCGGGCGAACACTGCCGCAGGTGGCGCCGCCGCCAGGAGAGAATGTGCAGCGCGAGGCCGGGACGGTGGCTGGGCCGGGGCCGCGCGCGCCGCTCCCGGGGCTCC